TGTTCAGTTATTCCACCATGACAAATAAACGTAACCAATCAAGTGAACCAGGAAAAAATATAATATATTTGACAGCACTTCTGCTATCAAGGTACATTCCATTGTTCAATTGATTCTATGAAAAAGCAATGTCAGGATGGCAAAAAACACTCAAAAGCAGTGACATATCTAGATATCATATACAACTATGAGAATCTGAAAATACAAATACAGATTGCAGTAAAATAATAATAATAATAATAATAATAATAATAATAATAATAATAATAATAATAATAATCGTATTATATTCTGGCCACCTAGTTATGCACAACACTTCAAATGTTATCATTAACCAATATCAATAAGCAATACCATAACGTATGAAGCTACACCGTGCAGATGAACTTATTGTTTAGTTAACACATTGGTCTGTCTTAGCTCATTGAGAAAGATTTATTTCAGTACTTTGAATTCATGATGTTCTTAAGAGGATTCCATAAAGAGATTATAACAAAAGGCAACTGTACACTAGATAAAGAATTGCAAACCTTTGTCCATTCATCCCAGAACATCGAGAAAAAACAATAACATCAGCACCAAGCCTCATGGTGCTCGTCTTAAACCCATTTCCATCTGACACACATAGTTTTCAAGAAATTAAGCAACAATACCAAAACATATTTAAAAATGAAACAATTTCTTATGAGGGAGTGAAAGGAGAGACAAGAAGTCTTGGGGGTGGTGTGAAGAGAACCTACATTGTCCAATTGTATCCACCTGTTTGCTCTTTTCGGAATACCCAAGAGACATACAGTGACGAATTTTTTCCGGATCCATTCCACCACCATTGTCTGATAGTTAAATGCATACAATTGGTAGATGAGCATTAAATTTATGTATAAACCAAATTACCAAAAGAATTCAAGGTTAAGCAGAAGACATGTAGAACAGACTATCCCCATATCAAACCTGAATAAACTGGGTTCTAATAATAGCAACATAGTAATTAAAAAAAATGAAAAATACGAAAGATTAAAAGGAGACATGTAGAACAGACTATCCCCATATCAAGAGAAACTGCAATTGACAAAACAATTGTGGGTGTCATAAGTAACTTAAACTCCACCAGCCATGGGTTTACGATTAACAGTGGTAAACAAGTGCTCTAGATGCAGGCATATAATGTAGAGCAACTGTAAGCATTTTTTATAATATTAGTCATAAAAAGAAGACGACAAAACCTTCAATAAGCAACATTTTGCTCCCATCTTTCTTGCTTTTGACCATATCAATGTTCACATATGTTGCTCCATTGCAGACCTAAATTTAAAACACAAACCAGTATAAAAGCCTGAAGCCCAAACCAGGAGAATTTGCATCATGGTCACTATCGAAGAACTTCAGGTACAATATCGCTATTACCTCATCCAAGGAATTATCCAACAGCTCTGCAAAAGCTGCAAAAGAAGATTCACAGTACCAGTATGGTAAGAATGAATTGCATCTTCATATAAACCAAAACTGAGCATCAAGAAGATGATAATTTTGTGAATTGTAGTATTTCATTACCTCCAAGGACCCACTTATGACTTGTAGCATTAGAATGTAAAAACTTAGGGTGTACTCTAACATGATCCATGCCACCTGTACAATGGGTGCAGGAGTCAGGTGAGAGATTAAACGGGCACATCCCCAATCAGAAAGAAGCAATAAATAAGAGATATCTAAGCTGCATCATCCAGAATTAGTGGGACCTGTAATCCTTCCATTGTTGCATGCATGACAGAATTAGCAAATTTACAATGTGTTTCCATAAAAAGGTGATACTCAGTTAAGAGTTCTCATCATTTTCCTCAAAATTATTGAAACAGAATCCAAACTAACATTCTACCACCTCATACTATGTGTACAGAAACATTAGGCATATTAGGCATATTCCCTTTCTATTAGGGCCCTTAAAAAAGAAACATCAAATGATAAATCGCACTTCCAGTAGCGACTGATCCAGGAATAGTTTTTCTGAATGCACAACACTCCGATGTTGTGCATGAGGTATCATGCCCTGACTTCCTTTTGACCAGTCGAATTGCTGATAAAGAGTCTACAGGCATCTTAAGCCCCTTAATTTAACATTGACAATCAACTTATATTATGGTCCGCAGTAAAAGGGATAACTTAAATCAAACTCACCAAAAACCAAAATACACACAATCAAGCATCGTCCATAACAGCATTTCTCCTCGAAATGAGCAATCATTGAATCGGGTAAAAGAAATGCAGAAACCACTAATGATTGTACTTCCTACCACTCCCATAAATCCCATTCAAAATTAGATGTAACTTCAAAAACAAACAAACGCACACGAGATATTCAATAAAATACAAAAAAAAAAAAAAAAAAAACAGAAAAATAATAATACGTCACCATTAGAGGTATTCCAATCCCCAGGAAGCGTCCCCTCATAGTCGCCAGCCTTCCAGAACTGCTTCGAACTCGGATCCGGAATGGCTCGTGCTCTTGCAGACGGACACTCCAAACGCAACCGCTCGTCCCGAGGCAGCGGCGGCAGCAGCAGCGGCAGCGACGGCGTCTTCTTCGACGGCAAGGGATCCAAAAATCCCACAGGCAATATATAGTCCTCCGCAGTCTTCTTGCTCTTCTTCTTTGCATTACTACTCTGACCATCATCGTCGGAAGATGAAGAGTCGGAGTCGGAGCTCGACAGTTCGATTAAGGCAGCGGGGACGGAGTTTCTCGGGAAGAAATTGCGCCGGGACATGGGGTCGGGATCTAATAGCTCTCGCTTGACATTATGGATTTTGGTGTTGTCGGCCATGGGAGAGCTTGTAAGGAGGGGGTGGGCTCCAAGTGGAGATTATTATGTGTTATGTTTGATATGCAGAAATGGTGTGGAAAAGAGTCAAATAGCCGTTATTAGTGATATATGCATTATAGATTAGATTAGATTATTACTTAATTAGCATCAAGGGCAGGAGCCCCATGCCACGAGTCGATATACGATTTACGTGTCGAACTGCTCTCGAGTCGAGAAAAATCTTATACGTATAATTACATTATTTCTCATATTCTCTTTTAGATCAATAAATAAATTATTAAGTATGAGGGAAAGTAGTACCAAAATGAATGAAGTTATTTTAGGTAATTTCGATTATATAAGTCTTCATTTCGAAATTGGCATGTTGATTTTGAAATCTTTGTGTTCTTTTGGAGCAATATTGTGCTCATTAATGATTTGTTTACTCTAATTTAGGTTGGAAGAAGGAAATTGTTTGATGATTTTTCATGAAATTTTATTTCCTAATTTTGAGTCAATCTTTGTCAACTGTTTGATCTTGCTTTTGGTAAAAGAAAGATATCAAATCAATTGGCCATCCTAGTTCTAGATTATATCATTATTAGCTTGTACGTAACCCGTGCAATTCACGAGTTGTATTTATTTTGAAAAAAATTATAAATTGAAGATTATTACTCAATAAATTATAATACGAAAAATTATAAATTAAAGGTTATTACTCAATAAGTTATAATATGTAGGGCATTTGTAAAGTAAGCATAAATTTTTCGTTGGTAATAAGTAAGACATTATTAAAAGAAAATCTCTCTATATACAACATTATTAGTTTGATTACTGAATAATTCATCGTCCCCACAAATTAATACTTTCAATCCCTTCGTATTAGTTACACGTGAAATATCAACACATAATTGGTTGTGACTGAAAAACGGTTTCTTCAAGAACAACTCAACATGCGATAAAGAATGACCCCGACAATATATGAGTTTTTGTAGTTTCATGTAAGTTGTTTTCATCGTACGAGTTTGACTTGATATTTATAAGCCTCACATTCGTGTCAAAGCAAAAAATATGGTATAAAATTAAAGTGATAATAATTTTTGAAGTGGTAAATATCACATATTTTGTTTATTCGGATGATACCAAAAAGAAAAGGATTTCCACCATGAAAATCGTGATACCATTAAAAAAATAGATCGTTAAAAATCTCTTAGTTAGTTATTATGATTTGTAGTTGAATAGAAACGAATATTATGACAGTATTAAAAAAAAAAGTTGTTACCATGAATTAGTGGATTGTGTGTTTATCTCTTCTATTCTCTTAGTCTCACTTAATCACCAATTTGATTTCAATATTTGGAATAAATTAGAAATGTAATCTTTAAAATAAATTTGTTACGTTTAAATGATCATTTAGATTGTATCTATTGCAAACAATATGTACAATAAATAAATAAATAAATAAATAATTATGTTCAAATAAGAGATTTTTTTTTATGAATATAAACACTTGTAAATCAAATTTCCATAAAGATAGCATTTCGCATTTATCTTTCTTACTATAGCATTCTCATTAAAAATAATTGTTATCATGATTAGTGGATTTTGTGTTTATTTCTTTTATTTCTCTTATTCTCATTTTACGGCCAATTTGATTTCAATCTTTAGAATAAATATAAAATGTAATCTTTAAAATGAATTTGTTACGTTTAAAATGAGATTTAGATTGTATGTATTGCATAAAAATATTAAACAGAAAAATTGTTACGCTCAAATAAGAGATTTCTTTATGAATAGAAACAATTCTAAATCAAACTTCCATAAAGATTGCATTTTGTGATTATCTTTTTTATTATAGCGTTCTCATTTGTAGTAAAAAAACAATTAATATGAACAATCATATGTGAATCAAATTTTATTATGAAAAAAAAAAGAAGATAAAATACCAATAAAATTTGATTTGTGAATATCTAAAAGACGTTACACCACAAAAATGGTGATACAATAAAAAAATTTGATCATTGAAAAATCGAATTTAGTTTATATGCTTTGTAGTTGAAAATTATAAATATTAATAGAAAACTGCTTATTATGAGAGTAAAATTAAACAAATATAAAAACTAATTTTGTTTGTATGAATAAAAAGACTTGTAGATCATATTTATTTAAGAAAATTAATTTTATTAACAGTAAATTTGTTTCAATCAGTTTTTATATAAAAAAAAAAACGAAATACAAAAATTAAATAAGATTTGTGTGTATCTAAAGGATTCTTGTACCACTTTGTGTTGCCATAAAAATATTGATTTATCTTAAAAATAAGATTTTGACAAACTCTCAAGTACAAACCGAATCACTTTTTTCATGAGTACTCCCTCCTATGCAATTAATGCTTCGTATTTTTTTTCTTTTTTGGTTTGGTATTTAAAATGTGTCTAATAATTTTTTTTGGAAGGTCATTAATTATTTTGGCGGAAAATTCTTACTAAAATTGATTTAACTTTATTCTTATTATATATATATATATAGATTTCTTTTATCAATCAACATTAATTGTTTGAAATATTTTTTTATTTTTTAAAACAAATGGTAATAACACAAGTTTATATATCTTGTCGATAACACTTGGTTATCCATGTAATTAGATGTATATCGTATGATTATATAAAACGAAATGGGCTTGTGATAAGTAAGAAGAGAGATCGTCAATAGCGTATGAGATCGGCATAAATTCCCCCTATATATAATTAGCTAAAAGACACATCTATTCCCCTTCAACAAAACTTTTCCAAAATTACAACCATCTTAAAACAACTAGTACGTAACCCGTGCGATGCACGATGCACGTGACATAAATATTAAATGAGTCATTTTCATAAAGTTAGACCGTTAAGTAGCTTGTGCGATGCACGGGACAAAGATATTAATTGAGTCATTTCCATAGGACATGCTCGTTAAGCATTGTGTACAAATATTTTACAAAATGTACACATATATTTTTTTTTAGAATTAATTTTTTATAATATTAAACATCTTTGATTTTTTTAATTTGCATCATAAGGCTTTATAGTTTATTCAGCACTATGCACTATATTTTAAAATAATTTTACTATGGAGAGAAATCAAAATAAAAAAAATGATAAAAAAATAATCATGGTTAATAATAATATACAAATAAATCACATGTTGAAATTCTAAAGAATAGTTCATCTATTTCAATTTTATTATTTGGACATTAGTAAAATTATTTAATGTATCTAGTCATTATCTCCTAAATGGTAAATTATATAATTTGAAGAATAATTTATTTTTCTTTCTATATATATAATGAAATAAAGATGAAGAAAAAATTTACTTAACATGTTACTATTTTCAATAATATTTTAGGATGAAAAATCAATATTTGTGAAAAAAATAATATGCTTATAATTTAAAATATGTTTTCATGTCTATCTTGACAATGAAATAATCAATAAGAATCACGAAAAATTAAATTTGTAGTTTATTATAATGAATATCAATGAAATTATTGCATAAAATAATTAAAGGAATAATCTTTTTGATCAGGTCTGATTTGATATGATTTGAAATTGTATATATGGAAGCAATTAATGCATATATTTTAAAAGTTTCCAAATAAGGTATGCATTTAATGCTCTAAGATATTTTTGCTACTATTTTTAGTAAATGATTATTCTTATTATATATGTATAGATTCCAGTTCTACGTTTCAGTGTCTTTTCTAGTTTAAATCTACATCATTTTATTCAATAATTATTTTAGATTGTTTTCAGTTTATTTTAAGTTTTTTACATTATCACTAAAGTTTATTATCTATTATTTACTAGATCACG